ATGCCACATTTTTTTTTTGATCAAAGATAAAGAAGACTCTTCTTTCCTTGAAGATTTTTATGGATATGTCTGAGAAATGCAATGAGCGAAGATCTGGTAACGGGTCTCCTCTGCTTTACCCCACCGAAGCTCGCAGTTGACGTGGAAGAGGTAATCGATGAATTCATGGAACAGAATAATATCGTTCACATAGTTAAAGGCAGTGGCTCGGCAAATCTCAACCTAGTCAAATTTGCGCTTATCTGGGGTTATTCAATACGCTGATCCCAAAAATCCACTTTTGGAAGCTTAAAAATGGCGAAAATAAGCGTTTTTAATGCCATTCCCTTTGGAATTGGAGGATGGAGCAAGGCCGATGACGCTAAATCGTTGCAGGACCCAATGGTTATAGCGTTCGGCGGGCAGCCTCCAGTGGTGAGAAGGAAATTGCCAACTCGTTCAGATGCGTATAAGATTGGCCTGCGCGTGTAAGTCTGAGAGCGATTTTCTCGGCAGGGAAAGCATGCTGTGCAACCGGGATTGCACTGTTTCATATTTGGACGATAAGGACCCTACCGCGTACAAATCCTGAGTTGTCGGATTTTGCCGATCCACTGCCTTTAAGCCTCCGTTCAACTACGCAAAAAATGGTTGTGTATGATAAAAATATAGTATCTTTGAGGAACATGGATCAGGCAGAAAGAGCCTTGTTTGAATTTTTATTTATCTACATGTTTTCTACAGTGCTGGACATAATTATAGGGACACTCTAGAAATCGTCGTAATTTTCATTCTTGTCAGTGAATCTGTCTGAAACTTTGTTGTATGGTGCGCATGTAAGCCTACCATAACTCCTCAGAACGGATTCCAATCCCGTTGATTTCGAACGGAGAAAAATGGAAAAATTCGAAAAAGCTTGTTTTGCAGGCTGGACATAATTATAAGGACACCTGGCCTTTTTAAGCATTATCGCATTCCTTAACTCCCAAATTTTTTGTATAGTTACATCCCAGAATATGAAACTTTTGCAGCACCCAGGACCTGTCATGCTACTCAAGGAAAGATGATCCTTGCATTTTTCGTTTCCAAAGGCATCAGAAGTCAAACTGCTTCAGTAAACAACTGGTTTGAAGAGTTTTCAAGCCCTTGTTCATTTCAAATGATAATCATGGAGTCTACTGATCCTTCTGGATAGATGAGATGAAGAGCGCTTTCGTAAACTCTGCGTAATCGCTGATTTTGACGGACAGACTTCAACCTCACCATAGGGTTGTCGTGCTTTTGCACCACAAAACTCGATTTTCAAGTTACAGAAAACGCTGCAATGTAGCCGCAACAATACACGTACAACAATAAACTTGTGTGCCTAGTCAGGAAAAAATTTCGGGGTTGCACATTCTGGTTCAGCCGCAGTTGTCATCCGTTGAGAGTTGAGTCGAGCACTCTGCACAATCACATCCAACTCAAATCAAGAAATCGAACAGGAGACCGCTTGAAACTTCAAAATCTTGCTAATCTCAGCTACCGCGCAAAATGCGACATGAAACAGAGAATAAAAGTGAGATTTGTGATTATGTTGAATCTACTGCTCGCATAGAATTTTCGTTGGAAGTATTTCAGATCTAAATGGCAACTGCAGCACTAGAAAAAATCTAAAAGTTGTTGCAGAAGATGCATCTCCACGTAGACAATGTAATGAATCGGGTCCATCACTTCACGACCATTGGAAAGTGAGTTTTTTGGTGCAAAAGCGCGACAACCCTATGGTGAGGTTGAAGTCTGTCCGTCAAAATCAGCGATTACGCAGAGTTTACGAAAGCGCTCTTCACCTCATCTATCCAGAAGGATCAGTAGACTCCATTTGAAATTATTATCATTTGAAATGAACAAGGGCTTGAAAACTCTTCAAACCAGTTGTTTACTGAAGCAATTTGACTTCTGATGCCTTTGGAAACGAAAAATGCAAGGATCATCTTTCCTTGAGTAGCATGACAGGTCCTAGGTGCTGCAAAAGTTTCATATTCTGGGATGTAACTCTACAAAAAAATTTGGGAGTCAAGGAATGCGATAATGCTTAAAAAGGCCAGGTGTCCTTATAATTATGTCCAGCCTGCAAAACAAGCTTTTTCGAATTTTTCCATTTTTCTCCGTTCGAAATCAACGGGATTGGAAGCCGTTCTGAGGAGTTATGGTAGGCTTACATGCGCACCATACAGCAAAGTTTCAGACAGATTCACTGACAAGAATGAAAATCACGACGATTTCTAGAGTGTCCCTATAATTATGTCCAGCAAAGTATTAGGTCATTCCGAAAGTAATTTCGCTTTTACGGGCACCACATTTGACGGAACAAAGGTTTCTAAGAGATCTTGGATGCATTCGAGGCAGCATTTCATTCTCTTTCTAGGGGTTATGAAACTGTTGCAAAACTGTCAATGAGCTTTCAGAAAATAAGCAAAATCTGCGACCCATGCTTTTTGAGATGGTCAAGTTTCACGATTTTTTAAAACTTTCATGTCAATCCTCAGAAGGGTTTAGGTAACGATTCGATAGAGTAAACCTTATATTATTATTAATATTAATAGAATATTAATATTATTAACATTAATAATATTGATAAATTATTAATAAAATTATATAGAATAATAAATATTATATTATATATATTATAATATAATATTATATTATTAATAGAATACAGTACTACTTTTTTCTCCTTTCCATAGCTTATCATACATTTTTAACAGAATTCTAACTGATGCTACCGATTTCCATACTTGAGCAGCTAAATCCTCGTAGAACATCAAAAGAAAAGCAGCTCGCGCACTACTCAAACCAGCATTTTTCCCTTTTTCTAATAGGTGTTTTTTGTTTCCGATTCGTTTAGTTTCCGGGGAGAAATCATCATAACTCATTATTTTAGCGAGCCCCAGGCTGCACCCGAAAAACTCGAAATTCGATATCTCGAACCAGTAAACCCTCACTTGCTTTGTAAAATTAATGCTAACTCATGATACCATCTTGGTAGTCTCAAATTCCGAAAAACTATGATGTTTGATGCGATTGTGGCTGAGGTGGGACTGCCAAAATCCGATGGTTCTGTTAAAAAATCTTTAAAAAAATTACGGCGAGCTACGAGAAAGAGAAAAAAGTAGTATTGTATTCTATAAAGTTTACTCTATCGAATCGTTACTTGAACTCCTTCTGAGGATTGTTGTGAAAGTTTTAAAAAATCGTGAAACTTGACCATCTCAAAAAGTATGGGTCGCAGATTTTGGCTATTTTCTGAAAGGTCATTGAATATGCTGCAATAATTTTATAATCATTAGAAAGAGGGCGGAATTCTGCATCGAATACCTCCAAGATCTTTTAGGAACCTTTGTTCCATCACATGTGGCGTCCGTTTGAAAAACGAAATTACTTTCGGAATGACCTAATATTTTTTACCGTAAGCTTTTCATTGCACGTTTCAATTAAAAAAACACCCATTTTAGCTTCACTTTACTGATCATTCTTGCAAAGACATCTGTGAAAACATTTTATACATCCCCATAATTATAAAGGAGTGAGAAAACTTGCGCACCCGTAAGGCGCGTGTAAATGTGAACCGTCCCCAATTATCGTCCGGATCCGTAGAAACAGCCCTGTAAGTTTGAATATCGAGTATTACAAGGAGAAAATTTTTTTGCAGGCCACCCACCCCGCCCGCGGATGGAACACCAAGAACGGTTCTTTATAGTGACGAAGTCCCCATCGAAGCGGAGACGGAGGTATGACGGGGTAAGCCGTACTACAGACAATGTGACATTGTTGTATGTAGCAAAATAATATAGGAAACAGTATAAATCGACCAGAATTTGACTTTCAAGAGGGCGTAAAAGTACCTGTAATACTCGCCGCCTCGCTTTACGCACGAACAACGGCAGTTTCAACATGTATAAAGCTGCACACCTCATTCGAAGCAAAAGAAGAAGGAACCTTCAATAAGAATATCTACGGCGCAAGTAACCTTCAAATATAACTTGTACAATGTGCGAATTCGTGAGATCCGAAGTCGCGTTGCTCATCCAGTATTTTCGAAACAGCGGACTGTGTAATTTCTCCAGTACAACCTTAGAAAAGCGTCTGGTAGGAATAACTATTCTCATGATGGTAACGATCTTCGACGTTAACACACGTGGGGCTGGACGTAATGAATTTTTGTCTAAGTGAAATACAATGTGCGAAGCTAAACCGCTACATGCGCTTGGACAGTGGTGCATGGATGGGCCTGAACCATTCGTGACGGTAAGCAACGTCCAGGATCTTAACCCCAAGATCTTGAGTTGAAAACTGACTGAAAACAATTGAAGGTGGCTCGCTTTTTAAGATATGGTGGGTGATTACCACCCGAAAGAATGCTGCATCCCTCAAATCTTCGCATGTTTTTATCGCTTCTTGATCATGAAGGTTGGTCATTATTTAACACGTTTCGGACCGGTGCTGCACATGGTGCAGCACGCGGCTTTGAAGAATCTTTTTAACGTTTACAGGAGGTTTTCTCTTTGTCCAAAGTTATCAAGTCAAAGGCCTAAGCTCCTCCTTTTCACATGACCCTGTAGATCTGTGCCGCCGATATTTGTTTAAAAGATATGAGGACAAATCGAACAACAGTTGCAACGAAGCGCGGCAACGCGAACGACGCGTGCGACGTCGCAACTTTTCTTTGCTCCGATTTAGAATAGAAAAACCAGAGTTTCAATATTGATATGTAGCGCGTACAACGTAGATACTTTTGCATACTATTAGAAACTGAGTTCTTGTTCATATCTTTCAAGAAAGCACAGAAGTCCTTCGCAAGCAACAAAATTCAAATACTTCGAATTCACTCAGAACGTTGGGTATGGAGCTTATCTAACATGCTGATTACAGATGTAGCACACAGTCTTGAAATAAGGTCCCTTTGTTGGCTAACGGCTGAAAGTGCACTCTTTTTCGCCGCGCGCGATTTCGCGGTCCGAAACGTGTTAACAGATCGTGCGATGACATATACCCAATATCTAGATCACCAATCCTCCAAAAAGTTACGGGATTACACTGTGCGGGTGCATGGGAGGAATGAAAGAAACGACATCTTACTCGGCTTACCAATGAAAATAGGAACGTTGCTTTTAGGTAGGTAAATCTTGGAAGACATATCTTCAATAAACGTGCAAATTTTTGACTTCGGCGAGGCATTGGCTATGGTCATAACGAGGTGAAGTCAGGCGTAGTAGTGAGCCTAGTAAGGTAAGCACTGCGAACATTTTAGTTTTACAAGCTTTACAAATGCAAAGATGAGCAGTTAGATACTTCATGGGCCTGGGCAGTACGCACGAGGCAGCACGATATGATGTACTGTCTGCCAAACGGCACGAACCATTGCGAAGCGGACGCTCACCAATCCATTTTCAGCTTAAAGTGGGTCGAAACTTGCTGTATGAATGCTTCATCAGATCATCTTCTCGCACCAGGTGTTAATAGTCCAATTTCTGAAGAGCAATGGCAAAATTACACATTGTTCTTATCCTATTACTCACTAACTGAGCTATCATCTTTTCATTGTAGTCGAGTGTTGCGCATGTTACTATTGTTATTACAATAGACAGTGATAATTAACAATATTTGCTATGTGAAGAAGTAATGATGCGGCTCTGAGAAGGGTAGGGATTATTAAGGTGTGTTCACGCGCTTAGATGAATTCCATTGGAAGATCCCGAGTTCGTCTTTCGCAAGATTCTTGAAAGCCTCAGATGTTTTGGGAGGCTATGATGTCTTAGGGAAGCTCCCATCCTCAAAAGTGATGGTCAGCAGTCGAAGTGGCCAATCCAAATAAGCTGCATACCGTTGGATGCAGCAGAGGACGCCGTTCTAAGTCTGTTTTTCAAGTTAGACAGCTATATAAGATAACATGGCTGCATGTTTTGGTCCAACATTGAGCCAGACATGGATTTGCTTGGGGAAATTTGCATTTTGCTGCAAGACTTTTTGCGTTATTATGGCTTACAACTTCGTCCACAGAAATCAGCGTTCTACAGGGTGTCCGTAAAGTATGTATACACTGTTCAATCGTTAATATCTTTCTTCCCAACAAGTCTTTTGCCTTGCTTCAGGTACCGTTTTGTAGAGCTGGCTTCAACTTGGATTTACAGTATGGAGCGAATCATCTATCGCTTTTCACTACTGTACGATTACGGTGCGAACTTCGACCAAGATTTTAGGCCATTGGAGGCTATATTCTGCCTTGGAATAAAACCAAACAAGCCAAAAACTCCTATGCTACCGTAATGAGAGCCGCTGATTTCGAATTTGGAATTCCCATTTTACTGTGATGCTTCTTTCCTAAGTTATCCCCGGAAAATTGTAGTACTCAATTCCCACATTTGTCAGAAATGTAATTACACCGTTAAAAAAGCCGAATCACTTGTAAAAAATTGGTTAGGTGGAATCAGCATGCGCAAAAACTCTAGTACAGGATTTTTCAGATTTTTTGGAAAAAATTTTGTTAGGCGGTATATTTCAGATTGGTTCCATATGCTGGAAGTTCGTACCGTAATCCTACAGTAAGAAAAACGATAGATGATTCGCTCCATACTGTAAATCTAAGTTGAACCTCTACAAAAAAACTGTACCTGAAGCAAGCCAAAAGACTTGTTGGGAAGAAAGATATTAACGATCAAACAGTGTATACAACTTTACGGACACCCTGTATGCTGAACTGACAAAAATTTACTTACGAAAAATACACAAATATGTCTCACTTTATGCTTAAAAGATTTCTAAATTTTTCTAGATTTTTTTCTAGATAAATTTTTTTCTAGATTTCACGACCGCTATCGTAACTGGCATATTATATATCTATACACAATATACGATATGATCATTGATATGTAAGTTATATTTGATCTACTACAACATAAATTTTGGCATTGTAAATCAAATTTTATCAAATTTGATTAATGTCAATTTTGATGTCAAATTTTTACAACACAATTTGACATTTAACAAAATTTTGATAATAAGACAGGCTCACGGGCTTTTCTTCCTACTGATGAGTTCCAGGAAGAGCCCGGAGTTTGTACTCCGTCTAAGGGCAGGAATGAAATGGAGTTAAATTTACATACAAAATTGACTTCCAATATTATAGTACCACACTTTGTATATAAGTACCTCTAATTTTATCTCTATCACGGTTTGCAGTTTGTTTAAATCGGCCACTTCGACTTTTAATCGCTACCTTGTTGTCTGAAAAGTTGAGCTGCTGTTTGAGAAATCACGTACAATTTCTTCAAGGCCTTAAACGATCTTTCGCTTTGGAAAATCTGTAGTGCATAGAGAAACTCAGAGGCGTATTCATCATTGAAACTGAGGTAATTTCTACCTCAAGGAACATTGTACCTTGAGCGATTGCTATTCATCAATCTATCTCATGGTAAATTCTACTTTTGCAAGCATGCAATACACTGGCGTTTATTCCGAGCACGCTATGACGTCTTAGCGGTGCATGAAGTTTCTTATTGCCAGTAGAACCCCTGTTAAAACAAAATTAATTGTTATTTTGTATCCTTCAAAACCCGAGCTGACATGTTTTGACGAGGACGATCTGAAAGACTCTCACATGTTCGAACGCAATAAAATGAAAAGCTTTTATGTCTCAAAGATAAAACAGTATTTTTAGCCATTTCCTCGTTTAAACTATATATTTTGACGAAATGTGAGTACGCACCTCATTTTCGAGCCTATAAGGGGAGATAAAAGTTGCACTGGCATCATAGAAATATGCACAGGCTGTCTCAAAATCTTTGGGCTCAACCTCACTGCACTGTAACTTTGTTGTTATCTCGCATTTTCGAACCAAACTTTGCAAGCGAGTTTGTCGTAAAGATGACATTACTTCAAAAAATTTGGTATTTGCATCTTGCACAAGTTCTCTTTATTGGAAGATTGTAAAATCTAAACATGAGTTTTTGGAATGGTATCCTGCCACTGGTAAGGATACATTTCCAGATGCAAAAATCCGAAAAAGCTGAATCAATAATATTAAATCAGTCCAGGTGGAAGATTGCGGCTATGAGGCTTGCATTTTCTACCAAAACATCGTTGGATAGTCATGCCGGTCACTTCATAATCTCTTTGCATTATTTATCTGTTACTTGGCCCATTTTAAATTCTGGTAGGGAAATGTTTTGAAAAAATAGAAAGAAAACTTGATCAATAATTTTTAGTTTGCAGAACTCAGCGTTTTTTCCAGAGGTTGTGGCTGGCGCGCGTTTGCGCGCTTTCAATGCTCTTCGACGCTTTTGGACACTTCGGAGTTCTTTTCGGCAAAACTTGGCCGTTCTTGAAAAAGAATTAATTTCATCCAATACATCTTCCAGGTGCTTCCACTACAATGATGAGATCGGAATGAACCCTACACAATCTAATTTACCCTGGGCTGTACCTCAAGATATAATCTACCTCAAGGTAAAATTTTCGTATTCATCAAAGCTCTTCTCTTAAGGCTAGAATTATTTGTGCCAGCACGATAAGGACTGACGTATATTAGAAGAATGGCATGACGTATTTGTTGTCAACTGCTTTCTTTAGTGTTAGCAGGGCATTTCCATAAAAGTGTTACAGTCAATGATCATGAGACTGCACTGGATACTGTTCAGTATCCAGTACAGTCTCATGATTCCAGTCAGTCAAATGGATTTCAGATGAAAGTTCATTACTTCCAACTGCATTTGATTCTAGATTATTTTAGATATAGTTATGACAATAATGGAGTTTTCCTGTATGAAAACGTCTCTTCTTGTACATTTAAAGGCAGTGGATCGGCAAAACATGACAACTCAAGATCTTAACGCAGTAGGTTCCTTATCGTCCAAGTATGAAAAAAGTGCGATCCCGGTTGCACAACATGCCTTCCCTGTCGAGAAAATCGCTTTCAAATTTACACGCGCAAGCCAATCTTACACGCACCCGGATGACTTCGCAACTTCCTTCTCACCATTGGGGGCTGCCCGCCGCAATGCTATAATCATTAAATCCCGCAACGATCCAGCGTCATCAGCCTTGCTCCACTCGTCCAATTTTGAAGGGAAGGGGGGTTGAAAAACGCTGTTTTCGCCATTTTCGAGCTCTCTAAAGTGGATTTCTGTGATCAGCGTATTGAATAACCCCAGATAAGCGAAAATTTGACTAGCTTGAGATTTGCCGAGCCACTGCCTTTAAGGGAGGGATCTGTTAATAAAGTTTCCGAGTTTCCAACACTATCTTAATTACACAATCGCCTTTATGCTGAAAAGGCATCTTTTGATGAGCTTAGATCAATTATAACTTTTCAATTTGCAGATTTTGAGTGTAAGCGAAAGTCTTGTTGGATCATCTCTTGTATTTTATTTTTTTAGTTTAGACTTTGTAAAGGTTGTGACGTTAAGTATCAAGCATGTGCACAGCTTCTAAAAAGAGTCAGTCTTGAAATTTGGAGAATGATTCTCAGTGAGAATTTCGGACTGTTTTTAAATGTGTGAGCGGTCAAAGAAAACAAAGATGAAGAATAGAGATGTTGACACTTTCCCCACTGCGGTAACATTTTCCATCAATTGTTCTTGCATTTAACGGCCTGTCAAGTCCATGAGTTGCGCAGGCTCATGACTTGCTATTAAGCCCCTGCTCCCAAGATTATACAAACAAATTTGATTATCAAAGTTTATCATTAAAACATAAAATAAGAAAGGGGCGGAAAAAAGGGGTCGGAGGGGGAGACCGGAGCCACCAGCTAGGAGGCTAGGTCCGGCTCTTCTGATCTTGATCAGGCGCCGCCCACGTTGCGGCTACATCTTGACATGACCATTCCTTAGTGAAGCTCGTCCCAAGCTTACTTGTGTGACCATTCGATTGTGACCATTGACCATCTGACTTTGACCATTTGACTTCAACCATTTGCTTGTGACCATTGACCATTTGATTTCGACCATTTGCTTGTGACCATTGACCATTTGATTTCGACCATTTGCTTGTGACTATTGTCCATTTGACTTTGTAGAAATGTTCGTTGACGTCGCGATCATTTCGTTACTTCGTAGTTGACATAGATAGGGCAGGTATGTTGCAAGCGGGCTAGAGGCACGCACTCGCATGATCAGCACAAAGCTCGCTCTCGAGGGAAGAATAATGGAGCAACTCGAGATTGAGCAATAAGTAACAAAATTGAGGGCGAATGGACACGGAGCTTTCACTGACAGCATGAAGCATGTAGAGATGGGTGAACTTGACGTTGAAGAAGGGTTAGCATGTAGCGGTAGGTAAAGTTGAAGAAGTTGATAAGGGGTAATTGAGCACATGAAGTTTACATTGAAATTTTGAGCATTGAAAACAATAATAATCTTACTTGAAACAAGTAATTGAAATTCAAAATAAAAACATAAGTGTTA